AGTGGCAACATCAATTGGCTCAAGTGTAGCAGCAATTGTGAGGTTAGCCCAGGACCGGGCTGTGTTTTGTTCTGTTGTGCATAGGGTTGCTATGAGTTGGTACCAACTTGATAGCACCTAACAACAACAACAACAACATTATTTGATTGAAAGTGGATCCCTGGGGTTGGGTTCAGTTCCAAGTTTGAGATGTCTAAGGGCCACAGTCTGGAGGCTTCCACCAGTTTCTGTCACACCAATAAGTCTGGTATTTTTAATAAATTTTAATTTTGTTATACATTATGTTTTCTCCTTCTCTGTCCAGAAACTTCTAATGTGATCCTGATCAGAGTGCTTGGTAATGGTAGCCAGGCACCATCAAGTTCTTTTGGTCTCAGTGTAACAGAGGCTGTGGTTCATATGGTTCATTAGTCCTTTGGATTAACTGCTTATTTGTGTCTTTTTTTTTTCACTCCTCCTTGCTCCAGATGAGTAAGGGCCAATATTTGTATCATAAATGGCTGCTCACAGAAGACCCCAGTTACTGTTCATTAAAGTAGGATGTAGAAAATTGTCTTTGTTGACTATTTTATGCCAATTGACTTTCCCCCTCCCCACTCACCTACTCCCACTCTGATTTTGTGGTCTCAAGTCCCCCAAACCAATGATATATTCCCTTAAGGTGTTTGACTAAGACTAAGAAGTTTTCAAAACTTTTCCTTACAATATCTTGGGTATATTTGCAGCACATACAAATACACACTCATATGTAGAAATATTCTCTGTTAAACCTATATATATGTAATATTATCTTTGCAAGCTCAAGTTTTACATTGCCTCATCTAAGGTTGACAAAGTGTCTTACACCTATTAATTAAGCTTCACAGAATTTCTAGGAGATAAGGAAGCTTCACTGTGTGAATGCGTGAAGTAACTTACTTATAACTAAGAAGGATACCCAAGAAACAAAAACTAAGATATTTATAACATTTCCCAAAAAATTTCACTTCTGATGCAATTAAACCTTTCTTTTACAAGACGGGAAATTTTCATACCATGCATCTTGTTGGATTTCACAAACTCTTTGTCCTCTTTGTCAACACTGTAAGGATGCCAGGTAAACTTCTGAATATTTTCATCAATGTATCTGCTCAGATTCTCATCAAAGACTGTAAACAGGAGATAAAATTCTTTGTCTATTCCTTTCTACAGTGAAGAAAGAAAGAAAATATGTAAAAAGTGCAGCTTGCGGTAATTCAGCTGTTTCACTTTCAAAATTAACCTAAAATATGTTATTATTTACATCAGTCATAGATTCATTATATCGTTTTGTAAAGAATGTGATTCTGATGAACACATTACAGACTCAAGAAATTCTTTCTCAGTCAATTTTTCCTTTTCCTCATGTGACTTCCTCAGAGGAACTTTCTAATCTCTGGTGGTCCCTTTGTCAGGAGGTCCTCACTGTCTTACTAACCATGTTGTATATGATCTGACACCAGTCTCTCTGACTCCATCTCCTTATTCTCACCCCAGCTCACTCCAACCATCCTGACACTTTGCACACCAACCTCACTCCTGCCTCAGGATCTTTTCATGTGCTGGTCTCACTGCCCAGAAGGCTCTCTACATAGGCCTTGAGTGCATATCTCCTCTCAATAAAGATCTCTCTGCACACGTTACCTCCTCAGAGAGATGTTATCCCACCCTCCACCCTGCCCACAACTCATTTTATTTCCTTTATCCTACTTTACTTTTCTTTATTGCATTTATCTCTCTCTGAAATTATATTTTATTTATTAATTTGTTGTTTTATTATTTTCTCCACTGTTATGTAGACTTCATGAGAATCGAGACATTTTGAGTCCCTCTTTCAATCTCCAGTTCCAAAAATAATGCTTGGTACTAAATAGATATGCATGAAATAATGAATTTATATCATGATGAGGCTTTGCTAAATTAGGTCAACTTGAGTTGATGTTCAGGGGTCTGTCTGTGTAGTATTTCCCACTGTGTATATTCCTAGCCAAGTTGATTTGAGTGTATCTGACCACAAGCATTCTGAATTTTCAGGAAAAAAAAAACCAAACACTTTTCTCTAAACATAAACTACATAGTTGACTATATTTTGCCCTTCTATGTCTTCCTACTTCAACATATGTTCCCTTCTGATTCACCCTCCATCTTGCTGCCTGACTCCAGAGGGATTCTTAACAATGTTATTTAGCCTTATCCTTGTTCTCCTTTAATTGGACAATAGAACTTAAACTCACAAGGATCTCTTGACCCTTCCCTCCTGGCACTTTGACTGCAGCAAGGCCAAGTGCCTTGTAGCTTTCTGCATGCCTCTGATTCTTGTGTATGTATCCCCTCAACCTTGACAGGCTTCCACTCCTTTCTCTTGAAAACCCATAAACCAACCTTGAGTCAGCTAGTTGTCCCACCTGTAATGCTTACCAGTCCCACATCAAAGGTGTGGGTACTCCTACTATACCTTCTAGATATATATGTTGACATGATTGCTTTATTGCATGTTTCAGAAACAGTGGTTTAAAATCATGGGCTATGAGAAGAAACCTAGCAGGTTTGAAATTTCTCCAAATAAAATATAAAATAATTGGGGAAAAACAAAAGGCCCCAGAGCAATGAGAGCAGGCAGACCTAGGTTCTGAGGCCAGTTCTTCTGTTTACTGTGGTATAACCTGAGGCAAGTGACTTAACCTCTGTAAACACTAATTTCCCTAATTTGCAAATGAGCATAATAGCTGTCCCCATCTCATGGTTTTAATGAAGATTAAATTATATAATACAGTTAAGCATTCAATACAACACTTGGCAAATATTAAGCACTCAATTAATGTTAGCTGTTATTGTCAACCCTGATTACAGTTGTCCATAGTACAAGACCCAACCATGAAAGGAGGTGAATTGGAGGAGCTCATCACTTGAGGTATTTACAACATATCTAGAGAAATAATACATGTATGAGAATGGAGACCTGGTTTAGGAAAAGGTTAGAGGGAAGTTTACAGGGCCCCACCACCTGTGCATGGAATGCTGGTGTGGAACCTTCTGAGGGCAAACTATAACCCCTGGAGGATAGGAGCTGGTGCCTGCTGCATAGAGCTGTTTATAAACAGCATCCAAGTCAGTACATTCTAAGTTCCCACAGCAGCAGGTTAACTGGGAGGTCTGATCCCTAAACCGTCACAGAAATCTGAGTGTTTAAATGGAGATAAGGTAAGTGGATTGCCGATGAGGTTGTCCTTGAATTTTCACGAGTCCTGGTGTGGCACTGTGGGTTAATGTGCCAGACTGCAAAGCCATTTGAACTGAAAGGTCAGCAGTTCAAGCTCACCAGCTGCTCCTCGGAAACCCTATACAAGGGTCACTATGGGTCAGAATCCACTAGATGACACTTAACAACAACAACATTTTCAAACCATTCCAGAAAAGGTGAAACTTCCTGCTCCCGCGAAGATAATAAAGCCTTGGAAAACCTGTAAGAACAGACTCCATGGCACTTAACAATAACAGCAATGTCCAAACCACACACTTAAAATCTGAGTTGTGTGTAATAAGGCAACTTCTATTAACTAAACTTCTTAAAATAACTTTGGGGATGAGACTGTGCATCCTCTATTTCATTTATTCAACCATAAATATTGGTTAGTGCCTACAATATACCAGGAATTATTTTAGGAAATGAAAATAAGACAGACAGAATAACTGTTCCATGGTACTTACATTCTTGTGTGAGGAAATATACCTAAGCACATAAATAAACAAAAGTATACAATGGTGGTAAGTAATATGCAAAGAATTAAAACCAGGTGATGTGTTAGACAGTAACTTCATTCAGTTCATTCCAGTTTGAACCAGTTCATTCCAGTTTGAACCCCTGCTGAAGATTTGGATTTCCAACCCAGATATACAATATTGAATCAGAATTAACATTTTACCAATATCCCCATGGGCTGAAATGAAATGAACCAGTTTGAAACCCTGTTTTAAGCGATGAAGCCATGCTTTTCTAAGGAGGTGATAGCCAGTCATGCAGAGGTCAAGTGAAATTCATTCTGGTCAGAAAGAGTCCTAGAACAGAGACTCTACATCAGGGTAAGCTTGGCTTGTACAAGGAATACAAAGGCTGATATGGGCGGAGCTGATGTAGATGGGCAAGAGGTGATGTGGTGAGAGATGATATCAGACAGGGACAAAAGTGTCAATTTCATTCTACATGTGATAAGAAACCACTAGAAGGCTTTAAACAGGGAAGTGACTTGATTTTTGCTTTTAAAAAAAGTCACATGCTTGCTGCCCTGTGATGAAATAGATCTTGAGGGGCAGGGAGAATGTGAGGAGGAAGCAATTAGATGCAATGTGCGGTCCAAGACTAGAGCCAGACCTATAAAAAAGATGTTTTTCTTTTTCTGTTATAAAGGACATTAATAAGAAATAAGCAAAATTTTGAAGACTGAAGATTAGATAATATTCTTGCATAAAGGATCATTTCTTACCTTTGATAACTGTAAGGTTTTTGCTTGAAAATGTCCTTGTTTTTATCAAGTACACACTGAAAGCTATCATACCTACAACTTATTGTCAAACAATGCAAGACACAAGCAAATAAATAAAAAATAGAGAGATTGATAAAACAAATGAGCCTAACTTTTTATATTTGTGGGATCTGGGTGATGAATAGAGATGCCTTAGTGGCACAGTGGCTGAAATCCTTGGTTGCTAACCAAAAGGTCAGCAGTTCTAATCCACCAACCACTCCATGGGAGGAAGATGAGCCAGCCTGTTTCTGTTAAGATTTTATAGCCTGGGAAACCCCATGGGGCAGTTCTACTCTGTCCTATCGGGTCACTATGAGTCTGAATTAACTGCATGGCAGTTGGTTTGGATTTTTTGGTTTGTGTGAAGACTATGGTAATATTGGGAACTTTTGTAGCTTTTCTTATTATTGTTATGCTTTTTGTTTTTCAACATTTCTATAAGCTTAAAATTATTTCAAAATGACAAGTTTAAGATAGATTTAGATAGGTAGATAGACAAATGATTGGATGGATGGATGGATGGATGGATGGATGGATGGATGGATGGATGAATGAATGATGGGGAATAGAAACAGATAATTTGATTGGATGACTGTTGTGATAGTTCATGCATGTTAGAAAACATCCTTGATATTTTGTTAAGTGCCATTTAGTTGGTTCTGACTCATGGAACCTTAAATAGGGTTTCCAAGAAGCAGCTGATGGGTTTGAACCACAAATCTTGTGGTTAGCACTCTAATGCTTATCCTACAGCACCACTCCAGGGTGACAGGGAAGGCAAGATGCAACAAGAGAAAGGTTAGCAAAGGAAAGAAGAAGACATTGGAAGACACACGGAGGAGTGCATGAATTAAAGTGAATAGAGGTAAATATTGTTCACTGATGATCCATAGAGGGGATTGTCATTGTAAGGAATTTAAGTATATGATTTGCTGAATGTGGGACTGATCATCTGTTGTATAAACCTTCACTCAATTCACAATAAAAAGATTTTTTTTGAAAAAGAGAAACATGCCAGATGGATATGTCTTGACATACCAAGACGTCACTGAAAAATAAAAAATACCCTCATAATAAAACCCACTTTCTGTTGGGAAGGATGTTAGTATGAGGAAAAAAAAAAAAAAAAATCTCAAAAACAATTATCAACTTTGTCCACTTTTTTGTGATAATGGGAAACTTTCATTTTCTAAGTTTATAGTTTTGTAATGGTTGAATTTTGTATAAACCCAAGTTAGTTTGTGAAGCTTTTAGAAGGTCACTGATAGAGACATGAAGTGTTGGGAAAGCATCAATCCAAAAACAGAGAAAAGGTCCTTATAGCATCTGACCACATTCAAAGATATTCATCCACTAACCACTGGGGAGAATTCACAATTTACTTCTAAGAGATGTAAATACATCTCTAGGGGTTCATCTTTCCTTCTGCCTAAAGAGGCCTAAAAGTCCTGGTTTGGTGCTGTGGGATAAAGCACTTGACCACAGGGTTGATTTGAACCACAAGGTGGCGGTTCAAACTCACCAGCCGCTCTTGGAAACTCTATACAGGGTCCCTGTTCTATGAGTCAGAACCTGACTATGAGTCGGAACTGACTTGACAGCACTTAACAATAACAACAAAAGAGGCCTAACCATGTTTGTACCTGGAGAGGGCCTGAACATAGTAGATGTTTCATAAGAATTTCTTGCACTGAAAATAACTTTTATCTCTCAATCGAATCTATGAGATAGTTGTCTCAGGTTACTATTACTTTTTTCATTGATTATAGGTAGACTGGCACTTAATGGTTGGCTTAAGCAACAACTGCCACAAACTAGAAGATGCTTCTAGCAAACCTCAAAGTTACCATTAAGTGAATGTAACAGGGACAAAATAAGAAATTCCTTGCAAACATTTTTAGCTTTGGCTCATGTTTTTAGCCTGCAGGATAATATATTGGAAAAAGTACAAAAGTAGATGCTCAAAGTCCTGCATTCTACTGCTGACTTGTACTTATAGGTTTACCTCCTGGGATAGCACACAATGTGTTGGAGCCTCAGTTTCTTCAGTTTTAAAGTAACAGTCACCCACAAGAGACTTAAAAAGCCTCAGAAACCCTATACAGGTTCACTATGAGTGGAAACCGACTCCACAGCATTTAACAACAGTCATTCTGCTTTGCCTTATGTGACTGTTGCAATGTGAGATTCAACATATTCACTCTTACTACACATGCACAATTGAGTCCTAGTCAGCAACCTCAGAACACACTGAGACTAGACATTTCCAGATCAGTCCTTTGTGCAGGGACATAAAAATCTGGGGCAAATCAAGAACTCTGTGTCCTCCAAACCTAGAAATTCCTTTGAGTCCAGAACACTATAAAACATGTGATATACTGTCAAACACCGTGAAATATAGCATTTAAATAAATTTTCTTGTCCAAATGGTTAAATCATTAGATTTTCCTCTTTTCATCAATGTGTTTAATGTTACATAGACACAGCTTAAATGCAATGTTTTGCCAAATTAAAAAGTGCAACTATCCAGGCTTCCCAGCATGGACTTGCAAGAAATGATCTACTTGGCTTTCTTATATCTTCAGCCCTAGTGATTCACTTCCAGCTGATAGTGGTCCTGAACTAGAGCTGTGGTTCTCAACCTTGGCTGCACATTAGATCACCTGGAGAAACTGATTTAATAGGTGTGGAAAGCCTGAGTGAAGTAATAGTTCATAAGAACCCAGGCTGTTAAATGCACAGCCCAGTTTGAGAAATGGTCCAGGAGGAAATAATCCCAATCTGCATTCTATGTGGATATCTAAAGACTCCAGAATGAAAGCAATGCACAAGAAAGCAGCTCGGAGAATCTCGCTGCAACAAGTGGAAATACTGGGGTCCTGGATGGACATTTGGAAATTTGGAAATTTGGATATCAAATTTACAACAAACCATACTGTAGAAGACAATTTCAAGAGGAAGGAGGAGAAACCAATATTGGCAACTGACTCTTGATAATTACCTCACCTCTAGCTCTGGTGTGGTGCTGTGGGATGAAACACTGGATTGCAATGTCAGTTTGAACCACAAGGTCGGCAGTTCAAACTCACCAGCCAATCCTTTGAAACCCTATATAGGGTGGCTATGAGTTTTGACTTGACTTGACAGCACTTAACAACAACAATCTCTAGACATATTACTGATCTTTCCCATCTACAACCCTGAGAATGTGGTAACATGTGATGGCTTACCTGTGTTCCATCAGCATTGAGAACACCCCTTTTACAGATCAGCAAAGGTCCTACAAGACCAGAGCTGGTATCCTTTATTGGCTCAACGGCTGAGAAGTAAAGGTAGGTCAGACAGGGAGGGTCACCATCTGTTGGGCTTACGCTTTCAGGCACCGTCCACCTGTATATGAATATTTCACCTGGCTTCACATGTGCCCCTGGTTTCAGAAACCCTGAGGAGATCAATGAAAGAATTAGCCAAAGCAGTAGCTAAGAATGTTAAACTTGTCAGACTGGGTCATCAGCCTTGGAAGTCTCTCTCTGGTGATGACCTATTTTGCATGAGGACAGTTGTTCTCTCTTACTATCCTACCGAGGGAGGTCATTGCCATGTCTACTGTTGTCTAAAATAAAGGATTAAATCAAAGAAATATTTTCTTCATAGATTGCTTATTATTACTTACTCAAAGATCAGATGTGCCAAATATTAAAAGGTATTGCCGATTCAACAATTAAAGGTAAATCCATAAAATGCTATTGAGGAATCCTGGTGCGGTGCTACAGGATACTGTGCTGGACCACAAGATCTGTGGTTCAACCCACAGTCACTCCTTAGGAACCCCATACAGGGTCGCTATGAGTTGGAAACTACTTGATGGCACTTAAAAACAACAGCAACAAATGAGGAATACTGATGTGGAGTCCTGGTGTGGCACTGTTGGTCTGTACTGAAAGGCTGGCAGTTTAAACTCACCAACCACTCCTTGGAAACCTATACACAGAGGCAATTTGTCAGAACCAACTCAACAGCATTTACCAACAACAACGATAACAAAAATGTGGAATACATTTTTTTTACTTGGCTCTGTAGAGGATTTCCAAAAAGGTTCAACAAGGACCCTGTCTTTAAAGAGTTTGCAATCTAGGAGGTTGAACTAGGAAACAGGCCAAATAACAAGATACCAAAACCAAAAACCAAACCCACTGCCACTGAGTTGATTCCAATTCCGAGAGACCCTATTTAGGGTTCTGAAACTAAATCTTTACAAGGATAGCCTCCTCCTTCTCCCAAGGAACAGTTGGTGGGTTTCAACTGCTGATGTTTTGTTTACTAGGGCAATGCCTAATCCTAGCACCACCAGGGCGTCTTAATTATAAGATACCAAAACAAAACACTGCCATCAAGTCAATTCTAACTCAGCAACCCTATATAGGGTTTCTGTGACTGATGCAAACTCATGTCTGCCAAATTCCAAAGAGTACACTTAACCCCACATTATAGTACTGAATGAATACATTGAATCTCTCCCATTAGACTGAGGTCAAAGATTATCACTACATCTTGTCCAGTGCTTTCCAAAAAGGTGTTTAATAATTTCTTGATTTGAAAAACGGTAAATACAAACATTTTGGATGTTACTAGTGTTCTTTCTGCACACACATACATACAACTTAATTCTGAGTATTTTGATCTATGAAATGAAAGAGTGCACAAGAACACAGTTGAGTCTGGGGAATGAGAATTCCATCCTCTGATCTTTCCCCATCACTATATAGCCTGCTCTCGACTGGACTTGGACTCATACTTAGGCATGAAGGTATATCCCAGGTAGCCACAATGCTTATGGCAGTGATGGGGAAGTTACCCAGAAGACTAGGAGTTCCCCAGGAGCAGTATTATGAATAGAAAGATAGTTTCTGTAGTCACCAGGCTGAAGTTGTCTTTCTTACATGCAAGGCATCTAACTACTTTGTGGTGGAGAGAAACCATATATGATGATAAGCACATAATATTTGTTCTGAATAAATATTTGCTGATAGATATGAAGCAAAGACCATGTTTAAAATTTTGATGTCAACAAAACATTGGCCATCAGATTCCTCTTAAGATTCTGTAGACCTCCACAGAATTTCATATAGCCTACAGCAGAAAATTTCTCCAGTTTAGAGACTGGAAGTTATTATGACAGTAGCTCATTTTGAGATTTATTAAATTATTGAGCGAAAGGGAAAAGATTAACATTTCCTAAGAAACTCCAGTGGGAGAAACTCTTTCCTGGATTTTCTCCATCTCTCCTCAAAGCCCTGTGAGGTTATTATTGTCTGCATTTAATAAGCATAGTTCAGAAAATTTAAATAATTGCCCAAGTTCATAGAGTTGGAAAGTGAAGGAAACAGAATCTGAGGCAAAGCTGTCTAGTTCTAAGTCATCTGTACTCTGTTCGCTTACCGCTCGCAGGCTGAGCCTTACCATCTATGTTTGGGGCTGCATCTGATGCCTTGTCATAGATCACACCATGGGGCAAAATGCTGTAGACCTTGTCTGCTTTGTTGGCAAAGGTTACTAACAAAGTATCACCCACTTCCGCCTTGATGACTGGCCCTAAAAAAATATTGAGATGAGGAAGAAGAAGAGAATGATAAGACACAGAAAAGAGTGAACAGGAGTAGCAAAAGAATCATTCTATGTAGGTGTACATACCCAGCTAAAATATCTCCCCTAATTCTAAATAAGGAATGGTTGTACCATACCAAGAATTCCAAGATGGTCTTCTGCTTCAGAGAGTCTCTTTCTTTGCATAAAAGTTGCATCAGTATACTCAATATACTGAGCCTTCCAATATTTTCCTCCTATTCTGTTCTCTCCTTGTTTGAAGTAGGGCTCAGAGTCACTGTAAAAGACAGGGAAATCTGACTGAGAATACTTCTTCATCTGTCCACTAAATAATTTAATCATAGAGCTTCATTTCATGATCTTTAACCTACTGACCCATCTATCTCCCCAGAAAAGACTCTGCACAGGCTTCAACCAAGTTCTCGGGAAGAGTCAACCAGTCTGAAAAGTCTTCAGAAGCTGAATGATGCTTAAGGTAGTTTCTCTCTTAGCTATTGTGTTTTCTTCCCCAAAGATTCAACAACTGAAGAAGACATGGGTAAACTCCTTACTTACCAATACTGGGTCCCAGAATGATGTCCTACAAAGTAATAAAGAACTAACTGGGTTCTTTGCAGAATAAACATTCCTCTATCTCTTGCTGGTGTCAGTGTGAATAGTCTCTGCATTTAGTAAGCTCTTTGATTTCTGGCATGGTTAAGGAGTGGAGTGTCTAGTTAATCAAATAGTTTAATTAATGGAAATTTATCATATAAGTTACATACATGAAGTACCAAATTTCAAAGTTGAGCAGCACAGTAATATAAATTCTAATCCTCTCTTATTCAATAGTAATGTCACTTTCCCTATCAAATGGACTTAGAACTGTTTTATCTATCTGCTTCATCCTCTTACCTTGTTCATCCTTACTTTGTAATTTTCTTTTACATCCTTCCATTTTTTTCTTTCCTTTTTTTCCCCCCTCACTGTCACCACCCCTTGTATTTGAATCATTACTTGAACCGCCTAACTACACCTGCATTCACTGTCTCATACTGGCTCACCCCTCTTTTCCACCGCCAACTCATAGCAAACCTGTACAGGGTTTCCAAGGACCAGCTGGTGAGTTTGGATTGCTAACCTTGTGCTTAGAAGTCCAGTGTTTACTACAGTGCCACACTAAGATTCCCAGAAAACACATAATTACAATGCCAATGATCCCAAAAGGTGATTTCTATTGTCATTAACTTGCTCTAAAATCTTTAATTGCTTTCAATTACCAATCAAATAAAGTTCAAATTTCTTACATAGGAGTAAAGAACCTCTGTACTCAAGATCAAGGAGCTCTGGTACAGTGATTAAAACACTCATCTGCTCACTGGAAATTCAGTGGTTCAAATCCACCAGACACACTGCAGGAGAAAGACATGGCAGTCTGCTTCCATAAAGCTTTACAGCCTTGAATACCCTATGAAGCAGTTCTCATCTGTCCTATAGAGTTGCTAAGAGTTGGAATTGGCTCAACAGCAGCTAGGTTTTTGGGTTTGCGGCAATTCATAACCATTTAATTTTATCCCAATTCTTTGCCTATACAAATGCCTATCCCCTTAGAAAATCCTCTATTCTAGCCATTCTGCTTAAATAACTCTCCTTTACACTATAGATGCTCTGCACTGCTCCCTGCATCTGAAATAATCCTCCCACGATAAAACATGAATCCTTTAATTCTTCAAGACCCTGTTTAAGTTTAACTTCCTCTGTAAATCTTCTCTGGCTATCTTGGCTCTCTCTGAACACATTGGGAACTCACTATCTGGGCCACTGGTGAAAGAATGGATGCTGGCAGAACTGGAAAGCAATATGTAAAGGACTGAAACAAGACCTTTGTCTCACGCCCTATACAAAAATGAACTCAATATGGATTAAAGAGCTAAATGTGAATCCCAAAATTATGAAGATCGTTAATGAAAAAATAGGGACAAACATGAGGGCACTAATCCAGGGCATATACAGACTGCCACACATTTTGAAAAGTACACAGACAAAAATAGACAAAAGAGATAAGTGGCACTTACTAAAAATTAAAAACTTGTGCACATCAAAAGACTTCACCAAGAGATTAAAAAGGGAACCCACAGACTGGGAAAAAAATCTTTTGCAACGACATATC